CCTTAAAGGGTATACATGTATATAGATGTATATATAGGTATATATAGGGTCCTAGTTCCCTCATTCCCTACGTACTAAGAACCAGGGGGTAGTTTGGCGAACGGTTGCACAGCCGGGCGGTGCGTTTAGGTGGGCTAGTTGCGGTTTAAGGGCTTTAGGGTGTAGGGTTTAGGAGGTCTTTAGGGGGGCTTCAAACTAAAAAAAAATCCGTTGTCTTGATCTGACCATTGTTTGTAGGGTTTGGGGCGGAGGGCCTTTTTGGGGGTTGCTGCGCCCGAAACCCTGTTCAAAAGAGCCAGAAGAGGGTTCGGAAGGGCTCCCTTTTCCATTATCTGCTGAAGAACCCCAAAAGAATGTAACAAAGACAACCATTATTGCCCTTACAAGGAACAAGGGTTTGCTTTACGGGTCCCCGTTATCCTACCTAGGAGGCTGAGGGCCTTAAGCTTAAAGCTTTTGGCTTCGGGATGTCCAGCGGAGAGCTTGGGGTTGCAGGCAAAGGTCTAGGAGGGTTTACGGTTTAGGGTTTAGGGTTTAGAGCTTATGAACCTGGAACTCAGATTGACTTGGTCCGGGGCTGGCAAGCATGCTGCGGTTGAGGGTCAGATGTATGTAGGGTTTAGGGTTTAGGGTTTAGGGTTTAGGGTTTAGGGTTTAGGGTTTAGGGTTTAGGGTTTAGGGTTTAGGGTTTAGGGTTTAGGGTTTAGGGTTTAGGGTTTAGGGTTTAGGGCTTAGGGTTTAGGGTTTAGGGTTTAGGGTTTAGGGTTTAGGGTTTAGGGTTTAGGTTAGGGTTTAGGGTTTAGGGTTTAGGGTTTAGGGTTAGGGTTTAGGGTTTAGGGTTTAATTAGGGTTTAGGGTTTAGGGTCTGGGGTTTAGGGTTTAGGGTTTAGGATGGCTTCGGGGCCCCAAAACAGGGGCCCTAAGTCAGAGAGCCGTCTGCCCATGCCCCCCCGAAGCCGCCGGGCGGCACATGGACATAGACCGCCGCCCCAGTCTCCTCCTGTTCTATAGGGCTCTTTAGAGGGACCGGCGGTTAGGGTTTAGGGTTTAGGGTTTAGGGTTTAGGGTTTAGGGTTTGGGGTTTCGGGTTTGGGGTTTGGGGTTTAGGGTTTAGGGTTTAGGGTTCAGGGCTTGGGGCTTGGGGCTAGGGTTTAGGGATCCGTTTCGGGTTGAGAGTTTAGGCGGCCCCTTGTTTTTCTAGCTGTGACGTGTTCTTTATTCGTTTCTTTCCATATTAGGTGTGGCGGGATGAGTTTTTTTGTTCTCCTCGGTGAGGCGGGGCCTTTTTACCAGGTGCGGACCGCCTTTTTGTTTCCTCGGCCCGAGCAATAAACCCTGCAACCCTGAAAGCCCTGAACCCTGAACCGCCAAACCCCCACCCTAAACCCTAAACCCTAAACCCCAAACCCTAAACCCTAAACCCTAAACCCTAAACCCCAAACCCCCCCAAACGCCTCCTCCTCCCATTGGCAATTGGCGACCTCCGGCTCCGGAGCAGGCTCCGGGGCTGGCTCATCAGGCACTGCCGCCTAGGAATTGTAGGTTGCCTGTGTGTTTTTTTTCCTCTAAGGGGAGCCCTAAACCCTAAACCCTAAACCCTAAACCCTAAACCCTAAACCCTAAACCCTAAACCCTAAACCCTAAACCCTAAACCCTAAAACCCTAAACCCTAAACCCTAAACCCTGAGCTTCAGAGTCTCTAGGCTTTGTGGGTTGCTGTGGGGTTTTTAAGGTTGAAAGGGCCTTTGACCTTTGAAGAGCTTGTAGGGCTTCCAGGCTTTGTACCTGGCACTCTCTTTGCCTAAGTTTTATGGGTTATACCGACAAAGAAAAGGCTAGTCACTACTCTCCTGTAGGTAAATAGAGCCCCCGGTAGGGTTGCTGGGGCTCTAAAGGGGTTCTGGAGAGGGTTCGGGCATCAGGGCTGACTTAGAGCTTAGGGACTTCGGCTTGAATGGATCAGGGTCTATAGGATTCATAGGACTCATAGGATCCATAGGGTTTATAGGGTTTATAGGGTTTATAGGGTTTGTAGGGTGTATAGGGTGTATAGGGTTTATAGGGTTTATAGGGTTCAGAGTTCAGGGCGGGGTTTCGGGGCTTCGGGTTTGGGTTTAGGGATTTGGGGTCATAGCTGGGTGTTGTGATATTCAAGGGCTAGGGAATTAAGAAGTAGACTGGCATGTCATGTGCAAAGTAAGAGAGTTCTCGAACCATGTATTCAAATTCTCTGGTTTTTGTAGTGTTGGTTGCTTTGCGTCCTTGTAGCAGTAGATCTGATCTGTGCCTAGCCATAATCTAAGGGTTCAGGGTAGTTGCATGGTCCCTAAATACCCCTTATATACCTCTTTCATACCGTACCCTAGGAAACCCAAGGGCCTGTAACGGACCATATTAAGCGACTGTGTAACTACCCAACTAGACATAGGCAAGCAAACGGGGGCTAGGCAGAGATCAGCTGCCATGAGTGCGCGTTCACCTCAACAAAATCCACCTTGATGCAGATGCTAAACAATAAAGTGAACAACGCCAGTCAAGCTCCAAGCTAGCTGCCTGAATCCCGAAACTTAAAACAACCTAACCCCTCTCTCCATTCCCTTCCTCGAGAAAGAACGTGCAGCCTCAAAATCACCAAACCCTGAACCCTAAACCATAAACCCTACACCCTAAACGCAACCCTAAACCCTAAACCCTAGAACCCTGAACCCTGAACCCTGAACCCTAAACCCTAAACCCTAAACCGTAAACCGTCAGCCGCCTGCCCGGGTACCGGAGGTTCACGGCTCTGCTCCGAGGGTGTTTGCCGCCAGCGCAGGTAAGGCCAGCGCACGAGAACGACGAGGCCCATCCTTTTGGAGTTGGCTCTTAGTAGGAAATAAAGGAATTAGGGACCTATATATATATATGTATATATATATATATACCCTTTAAGGATTACATAGGGTACCTCGTTCCCTCATTCCCCTACTAAGAACCAGCCAGTTTTGGAGTTGGTCTTCGAGCTGAGGACCTAAGGATCAGGATTCAAATCTAGGGGCTCTCCCTTGGACCCTTGAGGTTGTACCCTTGGTTTAGGGTTTAGGGTTTAGGGCTTAGGGTTTAGGGTTTAGGGTTTAGGGGGAGTTCTACCTTGGACCCTTGAGGGGGTCCCTTTTTAAGGATCCCTAAGAGAATATAAGGGCCATGTTAGGGGTTTAGGGCTTGGGGTTCAAAGCCTTCGGCCCTGAAGCCTGCCACTCCCTCAACCCCCGAGAACCTATAGAACCCTCAACCAGAAGTTTAGGGTTGGGATTAGGGTTTAGGGTTTAGGGTTGAGGGTTAAGGGTTTAGGGCTAGAGTGTAGGGTTTAGGGTTTAGGGTTTAGGGTTTTAGGGTTTAGGGTTTAGGGTCTGAACCAACCACCAAGCGGCAAGGTGGCCGCGAAGACGACGGCCGAAAGGATCTGAACAGAGGGCGATGGTCCAAGAGTCTTAAGGTTTAGGGTTTAGGGTTTAGGGCTACATGGTCCCTGAACTTGAGGGGGGTGCCTGGGGGTGGGCAGGCTGAAGGTCCCCCCTTCCCTGAATTAAGGTTTCGGGTTTCGGGTTTAGTTCTTAAAACTTAGGGTTTCGGGGGATTAGGGCCTTTAGTATGGGCGATTTATTGGGGAACCCTTAGATACCCTCGAAAACCCGAGGGCGCAATACTTCAGAACCCTTTCAACATGGGACCATGTAACTTCCCGTTTCAAGGGTTTAGGGTTTAGGGTTTAGGGTTTAGGGTTTAGGGTTGAGGGTTTAGGCTTTAGGGGGCTAGGGGTTCACCGTTAAGGAGTTAGGGCAGGTTTCGGAAATAGTGTGGTTTAAGTCTCGTGTGTAGGAGTCTCCTATGGGGGTCGGAATAATTACTAATCGTAATTTAGGGTTTAGGGTTTAGGGTTTTGGGTTTTAGGGTTTAGGGTTTTCTATGGTCCCTTTATCCGCCGACCCCAGCGGTAGCAGGGCGGCGTCAGTGAAGACCCCCCACCGCCCTCACCGCCCTCACCCGCTCTCACAGCATGCTGCTCATGACACCTTGAATTGGAGTGTTTTGCATTGTTTGGCTTCAGTGCATGCCCAAACCCCGCCACCCATCGCCCTCACCCATGACGCCTTGAATTGGACCTTTGACCCCCCCCCACCCCAGCCATTCAGGTGGTTTAAAGGGTCCAGTGCATGCCCGACCCCCCCCCCGCCCCCCCACGCCCCCTCCCACACCCCCCCACCCCCCCCCCCCCCCACCCCCCCCCACCCCCCCCACCCCCCCAACCCCCCCACCCCCCCCCCCACCCCCCCCCCAGCCCTCATCATTACCCCCTCCCACCATCGTGCACCATCCGACCGCCCCCCCGCTCTCACCGCTCTCATCGCTTCTTCATCTCTATGCCCCCCAGTCCACCCCTGCCTTCCGCCCCCAACTCCCTAATCCGACAAACCCTCTACCGTCACCCCCCCCGCCGCCCCCCTTTCCACCCCCACCCACCCCCCCCCCCCCGCCCCCGCCCCCCGCCTGCCCGCGCTCCACCCTGCCTTCCGCCCCAATGCGACTGTCTTGGGTCTGGGGTCGGAGGCACTGGCGGTAGCCATTAAATAACTATACTATAACAACCCCCAAAACTTGCTCTAGTACTCTAGTTACTGTGGCTCCGACAGTACAGAGCTCAGGGCTGCGGGGGAGTCTAGGGTTTAGGGTTTAGGGTTTAGGGTTTACAGGATTGCCACCTGGGCATTCTTGAGCGCAGGAACCCTCAACCCTGAACGCCCACAAACCCTGAACCCTGAACGGGTGGAGGGGGGCCGGAGAGGTGGGGTGGCCTCAGACCGAGTATGCTTAAGGCTTAATTAAGAGCTTAGGGTTTAGGTCAGGACGGAGGATTTCGAGTGCAAGGTCCCTATAAACCCTGAAGCCTATAATCCCAACCAGGACTGCAAGATTGCTTGCTGCATCCCTCTTGCAAGCTGCAGCGGGTTGCTTCAGCCTCCCTACCAGTCGAGCAGCTGCGCGGCGATGTGACGGAGCATTCCCAAGGCCTGCTCCAGAAGGGTGTCGGGGAAATCGTAGTCGTCGTTGTGCAGCTGTGGGCCGGGTCCTGAGCCAAGCCCGAACATGGCCCCAGGAACGCGGGCGGTCAGTGCCCCGAAGTCCTCCGAGAAGCGCAGGGGCTCATCGAGAATTTGATGCCTCAGCTTTAACTCGCGTGCCGCGGTAAGGATGTTGTCAACAGCAGCTTCGTTGTTTTGCGTGGTCGTGAACACATCGCAATAAGTGAGCTCCACGGTCACATTACCTGCCAGAGCCGTCTCATGGACGAACGACGCCACGTGGTTCTCCAGCGCGTCCATCGTGTCGTCCGCCTCGGTGCGCAAGGTGGCCCAGACCTCGGCGTCTCCGGGCGTGGCTCCGTAGGCTTCTTCGCCCAATTTCGCGCCCACCACCGTCACCCGGTTGAAGTTGGGGAGCCCGCGTGATTCCGGGGGTCGGCTCAGCTCTTCAATGATGCGGCACATGGGGAGCGCCGGGCTGACTCCGTCCTGAGGCGAGGAAGCGTGCGCCGTCTTGCCTTAGTTGTCCAGTAACCTGGGGGGAATTACAGGCTAACCTTTGGGATGTTATAAGGGGATTGCACTACCCCAAAAAGGTTAAAGGCTACCTACTCTACTACTAGGTTGCCCACCAATCGCACCCGCATTCCTTTGGAGGCGCAGGTGAATGTACCCGAGCGCACCGCCACTGTGCCCAGTGGCAAGGCCGGAAGGTTGTGGTACGCAAACACCTTACTGGCTAATAGTGAGGGAAGGCCGCATAAGCCCGTAAAAGGTTTCCCATATATGAACACAAAATTAGGGCTTATCGGGTCTAGGGATATATATAAAGAGAGAGAGGTGCGGGGATGTAACCCCCCTAAACCCTAAACCCTAAACCCTAAACCCTAAACCCTAAACCCTAAACCCTAAAAAGGCACCCTGAGTCCCCTCATTGCCCTACTCAAAGCCAGAAGCAGGTTGCATGGTCCAGGCCCAACTCGGCGAAGAGGGGGTCAGCTGCAAAGGCCGGTCCGCCCTCTCCTTTCGAAGGGCTCAAACTCTGCATCACGGGCTTCCCTCCTACCCCCCCTGTTTAGGGTTTAGGGTTTAGGGTTTAGGGTTTAGGGTTTAGGGTTTAGGGTTTAGGGTTTAGGGTTTAGGGTTTAGGGCTACCCCTAGGCTCCCCCCTTAAACAACCTTAATTAGTCTTGCTTATCCCAAAATAGCCTTCCTTCTGGGGGAACCTAGGGGGGGCAGCACAGAGGGAGGGTGGCAGGGGAACCCATGACTACAGGGCTATTTCATTTGCGCACCCGCACTTGGGAAACTACTTCAAATAAGGGCACCCTTTTTTGGGGTGGCTACGCTAAAAGGGAACCAAGAACCCAGAAACCAGGGTAAAGGGTACCACTGGGCTACCATGCCCAGATTTAGGGCTGTAATCCGTGAAAGGTGTATCACCATGGCTTTTAACCATATAGTTGCACGAGTTCTCCTCATTCTTATCAACCTCAGTAACCTCAGTGACATGCACCCTAAACCCTAAACCCTAAACCCTAAACCCTAAACCCCATATGAACTGCCAGGTCCTGTTTCCTCGGCGGGCTGGAAAAGCAGCACCAGGCGCCCGCGTCGGGGGCGCGTGGCGGCAGCCAGAAGTGCCAGGCCGGCTACCTTGAGAACCAAATGAACCCTAAAAGGGTTTATGGGTTCATATACCCCAATAAGGGGGTTTAGGGTTTAGGGTTTAGGGTTTAGGGTTCCCAATCCGCGTGTTGGATGGGAAAAGGAGGTGAAAACCTCCCTCTTTCCCTCCTAACCCCCCCAAAACCCAGAGGGGGGGGGGGGTAGGGGGGGGTACCCCGCCAGCTTTTCCGTGGAGGAACAGGCCACCCACACCGCGTAAACTCATGGACCATAGGCGTTTTCGCACAGGGCATAGGGGCTCTTTTGGAAAAAACCCCTGTTTGGGGTCCCCACCCCCCCGCCCTACCCCCCCCTCTACCCCCCCCCCCCCTTCCCCCCCCCCCACCCCCCCCCCACCACCCAACCACCAGCGCCCCGCCCAACCCCCCCCCCACCGCCCCCCCCCCCCCCCCCCCCCCCCCCCCCCACCCCAACAGGAACCGCAAAAAAAATCACCAAACCCCAAACCTTAAACTTGTTCTCCTGCGGGGCCGGCGGCTTGAGCCGGAGGCTCTTAAATTTTAGGGCTCACTTGGTTCCCAAGGTACCGAGGCCATGTGCCCATCGTGCCCGCACTTGTGGGAGACGCCCGTCACCAGGGACCGGTAGTCCATGGTGTTGCTTTCCTGAAAGGGGGTTTAGGGTTTAGGGTATAGGTTTAGGGTTTAGGGTTTAGGGTTTAGGGTTTAGGGTTTAGGGTTTAGGGTTTAGGGTTTAGGGTATAGGGTTTAGGGTTTAGGGTTTAGGGTTTACCTTGGGATGTTCCACCTTATACGAACAGTCCTGAAGAGGGATTACAGTACCCTCTTCTACAATCCCTACTAAGGATTGCTAGTAGAAGGTCCCGAATTAAGCCTTTGAAACTTTTAAAAGGCCTTAGAAGGCTTGATCATGGGTTTTAGAAGGCAAACCCTTTTGGGCTACATTATACCCCTAAGTATGAACCTTTTTAAGAAGGGGCCCTTGAAACCGGCTTGATCATGGGTGTTGTTGAGGCCCCGAAAAAAAAAACCATCCTGGCTCCTGAATGGGCAGCGCATCCAGCTCGCAGCGAAAGCCGATGCAGGGCCCAGCCTGGGGGTCATCTCCGTGGAAGACGGCCGCGAGGCCGTGGCCGCCGATGTTCCGCAACAGTCGGTCCGGCTTCAGGGGCTCCAGGAATCCTTATTCCCCTGTAGAACCCATATATATATATATATACACCTTTATAAGGGAACCCACATATATATATATATATATATATATTATATACATGTGTACCTATCTATCTCTCTTATATATATATACCTTCAAAGGGGAACCTTGAACCAAACAAAAAAAGGGAAAAGGGTACCACTGGGCTCAAGGAAGCCTGCTATGAAGGAGGCTGTCCCTGCTTCCGCGCCAGAGAGCTCTGGTCGACGGTGCAGCTCGTGCCGCAGCTCCACCAGTCTACCCAGGACATCTTGCCTAGGATGGCCCTTCAAACTGAAAAATATTCCTAAATATGGTCCTCTTAAACCCAATAAGGGGAAATATAACATATCCCCAGGGCCTACCTAGTTGCGTGATGGACCCGGCCTGTTGCATTGGCACCCCCACTCGCTGGGAGTCGCAAGGAAGTGTGAGCCAGAGGACGCTTTCTGCGTATGGCGGGCGGCTGTCTCAGCTTGAAAGTGAGGTGCTGTGCTATTTCCAGAGGATTCAGCGGTATGCACATGACAACACCAAACTAAGAATCCGGCCGACGTCGGAATTTGCTAGGGTTTAGGTTCGAACCACGAGAAACCTCTTGGGACTGCGGCATCTTGTATCTCGGAAAGAAATGGCAAGTAACATGGCTGCAGAATACAGCTCAACCTTTTGTCTGCTTACCTTATGAAGCCAAAACCTACTTTGTGTAGCTTTTCTACGAATCCTACAAAGGGAAATTACTATGATGGCCAGGGTTGTTAGGCATCACTTCAACCAAGAAGCCTCGGAAGGAGGTCGCTAAACCCTCAACCCCCAAAACCTAAACCCAAAAGCCCTAAGCCCTAAACCCCCCAAACCTACTCTCTGTGCAGGTTACCTAAGCATCCTATAATCAGGGTTTCGGGTTCAGGGTTTAGGAAAATACCTGGGTTTTCGTCATAAGATCCTAAAAGAAGGAGGTTTGGGTTAGGGTACCTCGTCGACAGAACAGGTCCCTGCCCTGATTCCATCAGCACGGATACCCAAGCTCTGAAGTCTCAGACATCAGGCTGGTAGCATATGGCACAGTTGCGTCGTGGGTTTGAAATCAGGCAAGCAAGGTTCCCCCCTCAAAATACCAAGACGTTTGCTTTCGACAGTTTCAAACTTGGCAAGCACATTCTGACACTGGGTTTAGGGTTGAGGGTTTAGGGTTTAGGGTTTAGGGCCGAAACCCCTCGTGCAGGCCCAATCCGGGTCCCAAAGCCTGTGGGGGTTAGGGGCTTAGGGTTGGTCCTGGGCCATGACCCACCTGCCTCGTTGTCGAACAGGTTTCTTGTGGCCTAGGGCATTGGGAGGTCTAGGGTTTGTTGGGGGAGGGGGGGTTAGGGGGTCTGGGATTTAGGGCTTCGGGTTTAGGGCTTAGGGCTTAGGGTTTAGGGTCCAGGGGTTTGAGTTGAGCATCAATCCGGGAATCTTGTCTACTCTTCGATGCTACGTGTGACATCGGGGATGGTGGATCGGGGTCCCCTGGCCCAAGCTAAACCCTAAGCCCAAACCCAAAACCCAAAACCCAGAACCCAAAACCCTCAACCCTAAACCCTAAGCCCTGAACCCTCAACCCTCAACTTAACCCTAAACCCTAACCCTAAACCCTAAACCCTACGCCCAAGGCCCCCCATGGGCTGAGACTGGATCGAATGGACTGGCCCTGGTGGGGTGGATCGACTGCAGTACATTCCGTAGGGTTTAGGGTTTAGGGTTTAGGGTTTGGGGTTTAGGGTTTAGGGTTTAGGGGTTTAGGGTGTAGGGTTTAGGGTTCAGGGTTTAGGGTTTCGGGCTTCGGGTCTAGTAAGTTTCGGGTTTAGGGTTCAGGGTTTATGTTGGCAGCCTTCAGCCCGCGAGGTACGATGAAAGCACACATCAAACGAGGACCAAGCAGATGCGACCCTAAGAAGAAACAAGCCGACCCAGGACTCTAGTTGGGCTCCAGCCAACCCGAAAGCCAAGACCCGGATTGAAGGTTCAGGGTTTAGGGTCTAGGGTTTAGGGTTTCAAGCGCCACAAAAGGGCTATGAAGGGTCAGAAATAGGGTTACCTTACCTTTACGCTAGTAGAAACGCTAGCCACAAACCTCAAGTACTCGCGCTGCCTGCTCCCTCGATCTTAAAGCCGCAAGCCTGAACCACCATCCAGTGTCCCAACAACATACTCAGCCCAAGCCCAACAGCCCCTGTCGCCCCAAGACCCTATAAAAAAAACCTATAAAACTCAGGACAACCCCCATAAGCCTCTAACCCTATAAGCCTAAACCCAAACCCTATCAATGCGGAACTTAAACCCGAAACCTTGAACCCCTGAAACCCTAAACCCCACACCCAAAACCAACCCAAAACCCCGAAATAACCCTCAAACCCTAAAACCCAAACCCTAAACCTTAAACCCTGAACCCCAAACCCTAAACCCCAAACCCTAAACCCCAAACCCTAAACCCCAAACCCCAAACCCCACACCCCAAACCCTAAACCCCACTTAATGTCCCAGAAGCATACTGGAAGAGGTAGACCACCAAAAGCAGCGGCATCCACGCAGCCATGCCTTACAGGGTTTAGGGTTTAGGGTTTAGGGTTTGGGGTTTGGGGTTTGGGGTTTGGGGTTTAGGGTTTAGAGTTCAGGGTTCAGGGTGTAGGGTTTAGGGTTAGGGATCAGGATTCAGGGTTCAGGGTTTAGGGTTTAGGGCAAGGGCCTTAAAGCTTTTGCGTGATTCGGAAACGGTGCTTTATGAGCTACGTTGGACAGGATTGAACCCTGCCCATGTGACGGCACACAGGGTTTGCGGTCTAGGGTTTAGGGTTCTACACTTACTGGTGTTTCAAGAGGTGCGGGGAGGTGAACAGGGGGGGCACCCTATGCTCCCCAAACCCTTACACCCCTGAAGATGTTTTCAGGGATTCTTAAGACGATTCACTAGGTCGTCGTTGTACAAACAGAGGGTTGAGGGCCTAAACCCCAATCCCCAAGATTCCCATACCGCAACTCGCTTAACCCTACAAACCGCCTAGACCCTAAACCCTAAAACCGCCTTAGCCCTAAACCCCAAACCCTAAACCCTAAACCCTAAGCCCTAAGCCCTAAGCCCTAAGCCCCAAGCCCCAAGCCCCAAGCCCCAAGCCCCAAGCCCCAAACCCCAAACCCCAAACCCCAAACCCTAAACCCTAAACCCTAAACCCTAAACCCTAAACCCTAAACCCTAAACCCTAAACCCTAAACCCTAAACCCTACCCACCCTCCACAGAAAAACGCCCAAGAAGCCAATCAAGTTCATGAGGATGTTGTATCCGCAGCCCCCAGAGTGGCGCAGTGCATGAGCCAGCTTCAACCAAACCAGAAACCTCACGAGGCCAGGGTTTGGGGTTTAGGGTTTAGGGCTTGGGGTTTAGGGCTAGGGTTTAGGATTCAGGGTTTCTCGGGCTTCTGGAGGCTTGTCGTCTTGTAGGGTGTCCAGAGTATGAGCTCTAGAGGGTTGCAGAGGATGTACATGGCTTAAAGGGCTTGTAGGGCTTGCAGGGCTTTTCGCTGAGCTCCTACATACATTCCGGGAACTTTGTGGTGTCTGTTCGATTGAAGTCTACGCCAGCGATAACCCTAGTCTTTTAGGGTTTAGGGTTTAGGGCTGAGGCTCTCAGTGTTTATGCCCAAGACCCAGAAACACGAACCCTAGTAAGCCATTGGGCCAACATGAACGGGGAATCAGTAGCTGCGCGCCATGAAACCCGAAATCCCGGAACCCTATAAGCCCTAAACCCTAAACCCGAAACCCTAAACCCTAAACCCTAAACCCCAAACCCCAAGCCCTAAACCCTAAACCCTAAGCCCTAAACCCCAAGAGGCCGCCTACCGTAGATGCAACGCCACTCCACATTTCCTCTTGCACTTAAGGACTGTTACAAAGGCCCTTAGTATGGGCCCCTTTGATTTTGGAAGCCTTCTGCCCCTAATCTACAAGCCCCAAGCCCTTTCAACAAAAAGATCAAGGGACCTTAGTACGGCACTGCATAAACCTACCCTGCTATGTTCCACGTCATGGATACGTCAAACCCTAAACCCTAAACCCTAAACCCTAAACCCTAAGCCCTAAACCCCTAGGTTCTGCATTCACTATAGAGTCCCTGAACCCTGAACTTCATACCGGCGTCCAAGGAGCAGCAGTGGAAAGGCAAACATCCACCAGGCCAGGCCAATCTGGGCTGCGTGTTTAGGGTTGAGCGTGTGGGGTTTAAGGTTTGGGGTAGGATTTCCGGAGATTGGGCTTGAGAGGGGGATTCGGATGGAGGGCTTAACTAGGGCTTGTGTCCCTGAACCCCCCTGGCAATGATCCTAAACTTTCATGATAAACCAAGCTACTAACCAAATTGGCAGGCAGAATCTGCAACCCGCCGCCCAGCTCCTTGGACCCTAGCCACTATGTCAAGGAAACATTTAGAGTCTAAGAGAACCCCCACCTCTGAAGACTCTGCTGCCGTTCCCTTTGGGGACTCCGTTCTAGCTCTTCTGATTTGGATGGCTGCGCACTAGCCCCAAAAGAAGCCACGAGCACCATAGAGTCTGTAGGTAAACCCCAGTTCCCTGAAGCCGAACTGAACCTTATAAACTAGATCCAAGAGTAACCTAGGAATAATAAGGGAACGCAGGGGCTTGTAAGGGAACCGACACCCAAAAAAAAAGGGGATAAGGGCCTACTCTGGGTCCTAGTTAAGCCTTTGCTGAGCCACCGGGGTTGACATCAAGCAAAGATTTGTGTCAATTGTCCGACAAGGATGGCCAACACAAAGCAACGAGGAGCCCCGGCCTATGGTGCATCAAGAGTTTGAGATTCAAAATTTAGGGTGGGCTAACCCTATTCACCAAATCCCAAACCCCACACCCCCATGCAAGCGGGTCCCTACACCCTAAACCCTAAACCCTAAACCCCAAACCCTAAACCCTAAACCCTAAACCCTAAACCCTGGTTTATAAGGTTTAGGGATGCTAAACTAGACCCAAGAGTCACCTAGGAAGAAGAAGGATGCCGAGGGGTACCGAAACCCCCCAAAAAGGAATAAGGGCCTACTCTGGGCCCTGGTATTTAAGGAAGATACCTGAGTTTCCCAAAAAGGATCCCAAATATACATAATTTAAAGGTGTATTTATTCCCTATCTGAGGGGTTATGGGGCTCCCTGTGCATCTAAATCTCATTTCGTTTCGTGACGGGTAATTGCAAGGCTAGGTGAGCAGGTTAAGGCTTAGGCTTTAGTGGCTTGTCTATCGGGCACTTCCAAAAAGAGTTGTACCCCTTTTAGAGACAAATAGAATAGGGTCCCCTTAAAGGGACCCCCGAAAAAGCCCCCCCCCCCCCCCCCCGTTTTCGGAAACCCCT